TTTTTTTTGAGATGGAGTCTCCCTCTGTTGCCCAGGCTGGAGGGCAGTGGTGCAATCTCGGCTCACTGCAACTTCCACCTTGGGTTCAAGCGATTCTCCTGCTTCAGCCTCCCGAGTAGCTGGGACTATAAGCGCATGCCACCATGCCCAGATAGTTTTTGTAATCTTAGTGGTGATGGGGTTTCACCATATTAGCCAGTCTGGTCTTGAACTCCTGACCTCATGATCCGACCACCTCAGGCTCCCAAAGTGCTGGGATTACAGACGTGAGCCACCGCGCCTGGCTCAGACTTTGTTCTGAACACCCAATGTTCCCCAGCCATCGCTCCTCTCCAATAAAACCACTACAACAGTCCCAGGCTTCCATTCTTCCCTTTTCCTAGCATCATTAGTATGTTCTTAAAATAGGGGAAGAAGGAATAGCAAGGCTCAAGAAAAAAAGAAACAAATCACATCATTAGCACCAGTTTTTGGCATTTGAGAGCTAAAAATTCTACAACTCCGTTCTCACAACCCATTTGGAGATCATTTCAATGAGGAGTCAAACTTCACAAATCTTTTTGAAAACAAATAGATAACAATAGCAACATTGAGCTGTTATTGAAATAAAACAGAAAATATGCTAAATGAAGTATTTAGGCCTTAGTACAAAAAAAATTTAGATAGAGCGATGGATATCAACATTACAGACTCTTCAAAAAAAAAAAAAAAAGTGATCCTTAAACAAAAGACCCACCCTATGACATCCTATCTTGTGACAACTTGTTAGTGGAAAATAAAATTTACTCATCTCTTTTCTAGGTATAACTTTTACAATCTTTCATTTATCCAGATGTTCATTTTAATACTTTTGGTCAATACTTAAATGTTATTTAAGATGCATTTATAAAGCTCAGTCTTTTCATGCAAACAGCATTTTAAACACAGAGAACCCTTACTAATGACCAATGATCTATGGCCCATATTTAAAGAACCACCTTTTTCTTTTTCTTTTAATCCTCTAAAAAACAACAACAAACTGGAAGAGCCTGCCAGAGAAAATTCAGAAACTATATTCTTTTGAATTCCTATGTGCCACTAAATATTTGGGCAAAACAGAGTAAATAAAAACTTGAAAACAAGGTTTCTCGACCTTGACACCATTGACACTTTAGGCCAGATAATTCTTTGTTGTAGGAGATTGTCCTGTGCATTGGAGGATGTTTAGTGACATCCCTAGTCCCTATTAGATGCCTGTAGTACCATTTCACCTCCCCACTTGTCACAACCAAAAATATCTCCAGCCATTGCAAATGTCCCTTTGGGAGGGGGACAAAATAATCTCTGGATGAAAGCTACTATTATAAAGTGATAAGATAAAGCCCAAAGTTAGATACTCACTCAAAGAAGTTCTATGTGACTCTGCAACCTCAGTGAAGCATCAATTTGTTTTTATGCACTATCTTAAAATTTCTCCCAACTTTCATATTTTCTCAATAAAATAATTTCTTCAAGGTACAAATGACACTCCAGAGACAAGAAGATACATTTATTTCACTGTTCAATTATTTTCTTAAAAAAGCTTAATATTTGATAAAATAAAACAAACTTTTAGTACCATAGAAACCTTTCAACATGTACAATGACATATTATTACTATGTACAACTTCAAAAACAAATGCTTCCGGCTCCAGGTAAAGTGATGTTGAATGTTCTGACTACAGTTCAGCTGTAGGAAATTTCCTGGATGGCCAATGGTTTCCTTGGCTTGGAGAAAGATTATATAAATAAGACCTTCAATGAGTTAGGAATCATAAAAATGCTATCTGAAGTTCAGTCATCTGGATCTTGGGAAGTTTGCAATAGCTGTAAGAGTTCAACAAGCAAAATAAAACCCTGTGGATATTTAAACTGGAATCATCCAGGGGGTCTTGTAAGTTCACAGTCAGTCTATCAAAAATAAAAGCTATTCCTATTGTGGTAAAACTTGGTATCTTGTTCAAATACCATTTTTCACCAGCTCATGAACTCCATTCTCATCGATGATTAGAGGTGCATGGAATTCTTTATCTGCCACATAACTTTCTAATCCCTAAAAAGAGGATTGAAATGAAACACGATTAGAAAATTTGCACTTGTCATGCAATGCTGGACTTAGAGGCTATAATGATGATTTAAAGCACAAATTACAACAGAGGTTGAGATGCAGAATTTAAAAGTCAAAAATCTATTTAATATACATTTTAGACTAGACTTAATGACGGATCTGTAAAAGCATAAAACAAAAATACAAAAAGAAAATTATTCTAATTATCATTTTTACAGTTAATAGGATAATCATTTTTCCTATAATCATCACTCAATAGAGTTAACTTTTTTTTTTGAGACAGAGGAGTCTCACCCCTCTGCTGACTGCAACCTCCACCTCCCAGGTTCAAGCAATTCTCGTGCCTCAGCCTCCTGAGTAGGTGAGACTACAGGTGCCTGCCGCCACACCTGGCTAATTTTTTGCATTTTTAAATAAAGACAGGGTTTCCTTATATTGGCCAGGCTGATCTCAAAATCTTGACCTCAAATAATCAACCCGCCTTGGCCTCCCAAAGTGCTGGTATTACAGGCATAAGCCACTGCAAGCAGCCAATAAGCTTTCTAAGCAAGAAAGCTGTCTGTAATGCTACAACAAAGCAATACAAAGATCTCCAGAAAAAATATTACATAATTAAAAGAGTAGGGACCTCTAAATCCACAAATCTTAAAAGTGACAGTACTAGGTATATAAACAAAGTAGACTCCTTGAAAGAAAAGTTACATTGCATTTTAAAAAGCCAGATGATTTATCTAAAAACAAGCCTGATTATATATTTTACAAAAGTCTATTGCATTTCAATGAGTAGGTAAAATGGACTGTTAATGGCAACTAACACTATGTGGGATAGATGCAAAGCCGTAACAGGAATTCTCAAAGGGAAGAATTGAGAACAAATGCAGCTTCTCAATTTGTTACCAGCAAAGCTCCTCAGCACAAGACCATCAGAAAACACTGCACCTTCTCTAAGGTCACCCCTACTTAAATATAAAACAATGCCAGACTCCTGCTTTTATAAAAAGTTTTATTTCAATTTTTTTTTTTTTTTTTGGTAATATTTTTTTTTTATAAAGACAAGGTCTCACTATGTTGCCCAAGCTGGTGTCTCCAGCTCCTGAGCTCCAGCAATCCTCTTGTCTCGGCCTTCCCACTGTGCCCAGCCTTATTTCGTTTTTAACTAACAATAATTGTATATATTTTTGAGGTGCAATGTGATGATCTGATGCATGTATATACTGTGGAATAATCAAATGAGGCCAATTAACATATCTATCGCCTCAAATACCCTTCTTTGTGGTAAGAAGATTTAAAATCCACTTTTTTGTTATTTTGAAATATAGCAAGCTTTGTAAAAGAAGAGAGGAAAAAGTAAAGCATACTTACTTCTCCAGCGTAGGAGATAAGAGGAGAGATTTCACACTGGATTGGTACATCATTGGCATCCTTCAAGCTAAGAAAAAAAACATGTGTTAAAGGTTAGGCTTCCCATGTTACTTGCCAGAGCGAAAGTACAAACCATAACTTTCCTCTGAGAAGCTTTCAGATAACAGAATTTTTCTAAACAAACGGAATAGATACTACCCTGATGATCATTAAATTCCCTGAGGATTAAGTTAATATGAGATTCATGGTCAGAAAGACACTATTTGGGGCAAGTGCCAATAATTACAGGTAGCTCTTTACAGCACTTCACTAGTTTTTACACAATGTCCCCTTACATACATCTCATTTTTTACCATTTCCAAGTTTCAATTTGATAACAAGGCGACTACTTACTAGGTATATAATACATGCCAAGCCCATTGCAAAGTGCTCTGAAGCCTTCATATTGCATTTTAATCCTCACCACTACCTTGGTACTATTAATGCTGACAAACATTCTAAAGCTATACTATCCAATACAGAATCCAGTAGGTACACGGGGCTACTTAAACTTAAATTAATTAAAATTTTTAAAATTAATTTAAAATTTAAAATTCAGTTTCACAGACATAATAATCACATTTCAAGTGTTCAGAAGCCACGAATGGCCAATGACTACAAAACTGGACAACAAAGATACACAACATTTCCTTCACTGCAGAAAGTGCTATTGGACAGTTAAATTATTTCCCAGTACATGTTTTTCTGTACAACCCAAACATCCTAGATTAGTTGAGCTGATTTATTCAATATGTTTCAAAGTACTTCTCTGTTACCAAAAGTCCGTTTTTAAAGAGCCAAGACAGAATGCACACAAGCAAAGCCAAGGCCAAAGTCACTATTTGCTTCATCTAGGTCACAACCTGACATTTATGGCAATTCTAATTTCTAAGTTATCTAACACAAAAGACAATAGTCAATGCATTTGCAATCATTAGACTTCTGTGTTATCTGCCACTTCAAGAATCTTACCAATAAGACACAGGACACACAAAAAATTAGTTTCTTGTCAAACCACAGCTCTTCTTTGCTTTCTCCAAGTACATGGTCTCAACCTTTGGTGGAATCAAAATCAGAGGGCTTCTGAGTTTAGCTACAGTTCAAGGGTTCTCTAGCATTCAAAGCACTCTCTATCCTACTTCAACTTACTTATCCTGAGACTCTTGACTCGAATCAGACCAGTCACACTCTTTGGATTATTCCAAGTCATTCTCAACTATGGTCCTTTTGACCGTAAAAACCATACCTATCCTCCAAGATTTAACTCAAGCTCCAATCTTCTCTTGGCCACTAGATTTCACAGTGATTGTCTCCATCCATTTATTCATATAAAAAATAAATGTGGCTGGGCACAGTGGCTCACGCCTGTAATTCCAGCACTTTGGGAGGCTGACACAGGAGAATCCCTTAGAGCCCAGGAGGCAGAGGTTGCAGTGAGCCAAGATCACACCATTGCACTCCAGCCTGGGCGACAGAGTGAGACTCTGTCTCAAAAATAAATAAATAAATAAATAAAATAAAAAAAAATGTGGCCAGAAGTGGTGGCTCATGCCTGTAATCTCAGCACTTTGGGAGGCCCAGATAGGCAGATCACTTGAGATCAGGAGTTCGAGACCAGCCTGGCCAACACGGTGAAATCCCATCTCTACTAACAATACAAAAAATTAGCTGGGCGTGGAGGCAAGCACCTGTAATCCCAGCTGAGGCATGAGAATTGCTTGAGCCTAGGAGGCAGAGGTTGCGATAAACTGAGATTGTGCCACTGTACTCCAGCCTGGGCGACAGAGCGAGACATCATCTCAAAAATAATAAAAATAAATAAATAAATGTATTAGACATCTACTATGTCACTGCCTTCTAGAGTAATTATTGCTATAGCACACATTTAGCACATAATCGCATATTGCCTGAAAATGTTACTTTTCTTTTATATACATGCATCTTGAACGTCCCAATAGGCTGTAAGAAGTGACTTATTTCTCTTGTATAAGATACTTCAGCACCTAGGATACTAATAGCACCTATAAACCTATGAGCAGGCCTACCAATACTTGTTGTTTAAACAAATAAAACTATGAAAATAGAAAGATGACAAACTAATGAAGTAAAAAGAGGATGCATGGGCAGGGCACACACCTCTCTACATACGTGCCAGATTCTACCACAAAAGCTCAAGTGGTCTGGTCCAGACCTTCTGGGGCAACTCAAAGTCATACAGAACCAAATGAATTTTGAGTAGGCATGCCAAGGAAAAAATAAAAGAAAAAAGTGACGACCCACCCCATTAATAAGAAGTATATAGCCCAGTCCCACCTAAACCCCTGAAGGATTCAGTGTAGCAGGAACAGAAGGTGGCTGTGAACCCAAGGAACACATATATATAGCTGGCCTGAATATGTAACTTCCATTCTATTACCACAAAGATACCGCAAGAAACTAAGGAGTCAACTTTAGTAAACAAAATTGGATGCCCTGAAGGAGGGAAACCAGAAGCTACCATCACCGGATGTAAAATCTCAGGATATAGGCAAATTAGCCCAATAAACCTACTGCCCCCCCAATTCTTTAGCCATGCATCCTTTTGGTAGCTAACACTATTCAGTAAGCATTAAGGTAAGAAATAAAAATAACATTGAGCCAAAACTCAGCATCATTGTTTCCATTCTTTCAGAGTATCTCCCAGCTGTGTCTTCCCTCTTTTACACAATATACTTCCCTTTTCATCTCTCACTATTACATGATCTTCTTCAACTGTCTGAGGTCATCCTTTGCTGCTAAGGATTATGCAGGGACTATTTTTCAGTGCATTGTATCATTGAAAGCCAAACTTTGATTTCACTTTAATTATTCTACAAACGCCTAAAACGAAGTACATTGGTGGGGAGGGTATTAAATAAAAGAGTAAGAACTAAATAATGTTTAAAGTTTTTTGTATCTTAACTAAAATAGCTAGATGCTGTCTTCAGTTACATAATTAAGAAACTATTTCACTGTTAGGTTAAAAGCTATGGTTCAATGACAAAGAAATTTAGTCAAAGTTTCATTTCTTAAATTATAAAAGCAGCTTGCTTCCATATATTAAAAATGGTGGATGAGACAGGAAGTGACAAAGGGCTCTACATCCCAGTTCCCAAGGCATGAGGGACAATAGTCATCTATGGCAGCAGTCTCCAACTCCTGGGCCATGGACCAGTACTACTCTGTGGCCTGTTAGGACCTGGGCCACACAGCAGATGAGCAGTGGGCAAGTGAGTAAAGCTTCATCTGTATTTACAGCTGCTCCCACCGCTCACATTACCGCGTGAGCGCCACCTCCTGTCAGATCAGTGGCCGCATTAGATTCCCGTAAAAGTGTGAACACTATTGTGAACTGCCCACGTAAGAGATCTAGGCTGCATGCTCCTTATGATAATCTAATGCCTAATGATCTGTCACTGTCTCCCATCACCCCCAAAAATGGTACCATCTAGCTGCAGAAAAACAAGCTCAGGGCTCTCAGATTCTACATCATAGTGAGTTGTATAATTATTTCATTACAATGTAATAATAATGGAAATAAAGTATACTATCAATGTAACGTGCTTGAATCATCCTGAAGCCACTCCTAAGTCCATGGAAAAATTATCTTCCACAAATTGTCTTCCACCAGTCCCTGGTGCCAAAATAGGTTGGGGACCACTGATCTCCAGCACCTATAATAGGCTGATCTGATCTTTGAGTCCATTTCCTTGTTTACAGAGTCACATCCCAGAAACACTGACACTCACAGGAATTTGTCTGGGCAGAGGAATGGCACACACAGGTAAAAGCACGTGAGTGACCTTGATATCAGTGCTACTCTATTTCTGAGATAACTTCCATCTTTGACCTATATATATTTTCCAAATTATCTTAAAAACCTTAACTTTTTTTTCTTTATATGGAGTCTTGCTCTGTCACCCAGGCTGAGGTGCAGTGGTGAAATCTCAGCTCACTGCAACCTTGGCCTTCCAGGTTCAAGTGATTCTCAGCCTCAGCCTCCTGAGTAGCTGGGATTATAGGCATACACCACCACACCGGCTAAGTTTTGTATTTTTAGTAGAGATGAGGTTTCACCATGTTTGCCAGGCTGGTCTTGAACTCCTGACCTCAGGTAATCTGCCCACCTTGGCCTCTCAAAGTGCTGGGATTACAGGCCACCGCACCCAACTTAAAAACTTTAACTTTCAAAGTGTAACAATAAGATCCAGCTGTCTCTTAAGCTATAAAGATAATGGCTTTTCCAAACTCTGTCAGTACCCAGATGGGAGAGGATATGTGTTACTTCTAACTAAAAATGATCTGCCATTAAAACAAAAAGATTCTTTAGAAGCAATTGACTAAAATTAATGCAGTGACCAAAAAAGAGCTATTAGTGTGAGAATAAATCAAGAGAACAGTTTTCTCCATATGAAGGGTCATCAAATATGACAGGAACAATCAGCCTTTATACTGAGAGGATATACACAATTCCACAAGACACATCTTCAGAATGGTATTTTTAATCCTGTCTAAGATTATGCTAAAGGTGCAAAATGTGTTCTCCCTGGCCTGTAACCTGCTCTGGATCTTATCTATCACCTGTAAATTTGTCAGTTCCACCTCCAACATCTGTGGTGAGATTCTTTAGTGAAGCATGCTCCCCACTTCCAGCATGCAACAAGATTCTGAGTTAGTGTCATCCAGAGAGATACCTGCCACCAAGTAAGCAGTGCACCCACATCAAAGCTTCAACCATCCTCCCTCCAGACCCCCAAAAGGCAGAGCACTAAACTACGATGCCAGTTAGTATGGAGGGAAGCACAGCCCCATCACCATGCACTATAGGCAGGCTGGTATATTTACTTGTGATTGACATCAGCTGTGATGGTCTCTGACTTCCCATTTGTAGCACTGCTATGTGGGAATAAATAAGCATTAATGGGAATGGAAGCAAATCAAACAATAACAATGAAATGGAGTTGCAAAATATACTTGATTGAATGGCATGTGTTTATGGTAAATCATAAATTTGTCCCAAGAAACCAAAAGTGGGGGGGAAAAAACCTCAATGGCCAAAGATGAAACATGAGGACAATGTGACATGCCAAGAGCAAGCTTGTTGACAATACAGAGCCCAAAAGTGGCTCTGGACTGGGAGACGAAGGCTACCACAGCTGCTTCTTATAAAACCAGTTATGTACCAGTAACTTCCAATGTTCAGTATTCTAATATTTTATTATTTTTTCTTGAGACCGAGTCTCACTCGGTCACCCAGGCTAGAATGAAGTGGTACAATCTGGGCTCACTGCAACCTCTGCCTCCCGGGTTCAAACGATTCTCCTGCCTCAGCCTCCCAAGTAGCTGGAACTACAGGCATGCATCACCAGGCCCAGCTAATTTTGTATATTTGGTAGAGATGGGGTTTCACCATGTTGGCCAGGCTGGTCAGGAAAATTGCTTGAACCCGGGAGGCAGAGGTTGTAGTGAGTGGAGATCGTACCACTGCAATCTGGCATGGTGACAGAGCGGACTCCATCTCAAAAAAAAAAAAAAAAAAAAACAAAAAACAGTAGTGAGGCCACAGATATATGGGCATCAAAAACCAATCCTCTGTGGCTGAGGGACCTGCCCTGTGGTATAGTGTGATACTGATTGGCTTTAACTATACGACGGGGTGGCTCACGCCTGTAATCCTAACACTTTGGGAGGCCAAGGCGGGTAGATCACAAGATAGGAAGTTAGAGACCAGCCTGGCCAATATGGTGAAACCCCATCTCTACTAAAAATACAAAAATTAGCTGGGTATGGTGATGCGTGCCTGTAATCCCAGCCACTCAGAAGGCTGAAGCAAGAGAATGTCTTGAACCTGGGAGGTGGAGGTTGCAGTGAGTAGAGATCACACCACTGCACTCCAGCCTGGGCAACAAGAACAAAACTCTGTCTCAAAAAAAAAAAAAGATTCCTCTTTACAAGGAAGTAAAACTATCATTGTTTTTATAATAGGCAAAGCTATTGTTATTTCACATCAGGAACTGTCCGCACATCAACACTTTGCTTTTTAAAAAAGATCTAGGAATACAGACAGAGAGAGAGAGAGAGAGAGAAAGTCCAATAAAGCATTTACACAAAAGAGAAAAGGTATTGACTTACCGGGGAATTGCTGGAAGGCGAGAGCCATTTTCATCTATGAAGTGGCCCCCTGCATTGAGGACCCAGCAATGATGAAGGGACATCAAAGCATGCCTTGCAGTAGTAGGATTGTCTTTTCCATTCTGACTGTCAGCATTCTTTAGTGGGGAAAACTCATCTTCCCGTAATACTTCATATACCACAAACTTCCTAGAGTGAAACCATACAAAGACTTCTTTATTATGAAACTGTATAAATAGCTTCTAAACCCCTGAACATAGCTAAGCCTTTGGTCTTCAATAATAGGCTTTCCTATTCCAATTTCAAATAAATGATGAATAAAATATTGCTCATCCTTGGACTAAAGAAAGTTGAAATTTTCTTTTTCAATGCAAAATCAGAAATCCTTGCCCCCCTCAACTATAGAACACTTCATCTTAAATCAGAAAGATTAGAAATCCTAATGTACAAAGATCACATTAGTATCTGTTCTGGAAGAAAAAAATAGGCAAAAAAGATGATTTAGAAACGGAAAGATAAATTTCATTTTATTTATTCACTTATGATTTTTTTTTTTTTGAGACGAAGTCTCACACTGTCACCCAGGCTGGAGTGCAGTGGTGCAATCTTCACTCACTCCAACCTCCGCCTCCTGGGTTCAAGTGATTCTCCCACCTCAGCCTCCTGAGTAGTTTGGTCTTCAGGCATGCACCACCATGCCTGGCTAATTTTGTACTGTTAGTTGAAATGAGGTTTCACCACGTTGGCCAGGCTGATCTCAAACTCCTGGCCTCAAGTCATCCACGCGCCTCAGCCTCCCAAAGTGCTGGGATTACAGGCCTGAGCCACTGCGCATTAATTTTATGCAGCTAATTTGTCTTCCTCATTTTTGCACTAGTCAAATTCTGAAACGAGCATCTCAATATCAAATGTGATCTTTATATAATCTAAAAATATGTTTACTGAAACATTTATTCACAGGGCAGAAAGAAGATATCCTAAATACAAAACAGGTCAATTCTTTATCTTAACCTTTTTAGTTTCTCATCCAAAATAAATGACTGTAACAACTTCACAGGAGAGCAAGGCAGGGCATGGTGGCTCATGCCTATAATCCCAGCACTTTGGGAGGCCGAAATGGGAAGATCACTTGAGGAAGATCACAAGTGCCTGCTCAACATAGCAAGACCCCAACTCATTTTTTATATATATATATACGGGAAAAAAAAAAAAAAACTTCATAGGAGAGCCAGAAACTAGTTGAAACTAGCCAAAAAAAAGTTGTATTAATAGGCAACTCAGATCACACCCTGGTTTTATTCTAGAGAACCTTAATGAATCTAGACTACATCACAATCAAAATGCCATGTGAGATATGTGCTATCAAATGTTTCCTGAAAACTGTTTCATGCCTAAGAGAGTGAAAAGCAGCATTTTAAGACATTTATTTAACCTTACTGGTACTATTCAAAGCATACTTTGCAAACTGGAAGATGTCAAAGACAAATTTTTCCATCTTTATTCCATTGGGTTTGTCTGGCTTAATTAACTGTCCTCGGGTATCCACATAAGGAATCTTCTTTTGAGCCACGTGGTGCTGCAACTGAGGTTCATAAACACTAGGAAGTAAGAGGAAAAAAGATATAATCACATTCCAGATTTAAAATGCCAGAAAATCTTATAACACTCAGGAGCAAATACATCAGCAACCAATACTAAGATTTTCATAGTGAAGAGCATTTAAGTTTCAATTTATATTTAAATAGTAAATGAATGGCTTTCCCTCAATCATCTCTTTATATTTTTAAAAAATCAAATAATGATCTCCACTAAAACTGTGTATGTATGCATTACAAATGCCTTAAAACTGATTATGTGTGCATTAAAAAATGTGTTAAGTTACTACGGATGAATCAATAACACAGCTACAAATGACATAGTAGAATGGGAAACATTTTGGAACTGGAGTTGATATTGAAAGTAATGCTTACTAACTTTTTAAAAAGTAGACAGTTGCCGGGCACGGTGGCTCATGCCTGTAATCCCAGCACTTTGGGAGGCCGAGGCAGCTGGATCATCTGAGGTCGGGAGTTCAAGATCAGCCTGGCCAAAATGGTGAAACCCTGTCTCTACTAAAAACACAAAAATATTAGCCGGGCAAGGTAATCCCGGCTACTCGGGAGGCTGAGACAGAAGAATCGCTTGAACTCGGGAGGTGGAGGTTTCAGTGAGCCAAAATCGCACCATTGCACTCCAGCCTGGGCAACAAGAGGAAAACTCTGTCTCCAAAAAAAAAAAAAAAAAAAAGTAGACAGTCATCTTGAATGTCTAAAACCTAAGTGAAACCAATAGTGAGAATGTCCTTCATTTAAAACTATAGTGGGATAAAACAGCTCTTACTTTATCCTTTGCAGCCCTACCTGCTGATTTTCATGCAGGTGTCAAGTTCTCTTTCTTTATTCTTTAGCACACTAGTCTCTAAACGCCAGCCTGGGAATCAGCTGAATTAGAACTGTGCAGGCAGCTTTTTAAAAATACAGATGCCCCAAACTCATCTTCTGAAATTCTAATTCAGTTGTTGTAGGGTGAACATCTGTATTTTTAAAAAGCTCACAGTTGTAGTAAGGAAAGTTTCATTTTTTTATTCTTTGCTTCAACAGAACGTAGCACATAGTTAGGGGTGGGAGGGTGAGAAGGAAAGGGAGAAATGCTTTGGACTACTGTTAATGCACTAGGGAATGGGCTCTGATAGTTCCCACTTTATGATACATCTTCCTAAAAACAACACGAGATAAATGTCCATTTGATAAGTGATCCTCAGGAAAGATGGACTTGGGGTGTCTGCCTGCCGCTGAAGTGTCTTAGTTTCTGATTAACAATGATTGTAATTTTAAAAGACCCCCATCTTGCCCATACTTGACAACATCTCTCAGAAATGGTACAGTGAAGAAATGGTTGGCAATGTTCCCCGCATTAAACAGCAGTCGTCCATCTGAGCTTCGTTTTTGAGCTGTTGCCAGGGAAATCTCACTATATTCGACCACCTGGTAAACTCCATCCACTCGGCAAACCACTCCAACTGGTTCTGTAGGGTTCGTTTTCTCTACCACCTGCCCACCAAAGAAAGACAACAGTGGAGGAAGAAATTTAATTGCATCTTTGGAGATCTGCCATTGTCAAAGGCCACATTTACAACTTTGCTTACGCTAAAAGGTATTAAGCCAAGAAGAATCTTTAACTTTAGACAGTCAACTATCCATCTTTATATACCTTGACAGACACTTTCCAACTGGAAATGAGGTAAATTTCCTTCCTACGTATCACCTAACTAAACCATGGGCTAGAAATTCCATCATATACATATATTTAGCGCAGAGTAGATCACATTCAACTGGGAATAATTAAATCAGGAGTCTATAACCCCCATTTATCTTCTATTTTTTACTTAATTTATCCTTAACCACATTCAATTACTTTGAGAATAAATAAAATGAAATTTCTCTGGGATTCACAAGACAAAAGACCAACTAAGTTAAGCATTTTGTCTCTCATTTTCTATTGTCCAATATTTCATTTGAAAATAACATTTCTTTACTTTTCATTGGTCAATATGGCACTTTCCTTGTTTTTCAGGGACCTGAGTAGAAGGTAAAGGGGTTTAGAGCAGGTAGGTCATTAGCCTCCCACTCCAATGTTAATCATAAAACCCACCCATATTTATCTATTTTGCATACTAAATTTTATTTGAAATAAGTGATTCTATGCTTTATAAAAATAATTTTGAAAACCAGTGATGTGATAATGTATCAATGGCTCTGGGCTGATAGGGGAGCTGAGAAAAAAAGTGTATACTAAAATCAGAGGGAAAATGTAAGAATATGTAATTTTTTAAAACCTCACAGATGATTTTGGTGTGCTACCACCCTAATCCCACACACCACTGACTTAAGTGTTTAGAAGAAAATTACAAAAGAACTGTATGCAATGCACTAATATAAATATAAAATCAAAGTTCAGATGAAATAAATATCCAACCGAAGAATCAAACAACAAAAACTACTTGTCAACCTAGAAAACAAGGTGAAACCCTGGTGTCTATTTAAAAAATATAAAAATTAGCCAGGCATGGTAGCACACTGCTGTCTCAGCTACTAGGGAGGCTGAGGCAAGAGGAGCACCTGAGTCTGGGGAGGTTGAGGCTACAGTGAAATGTGATTGCACCACTGCACTCCACTCGAGCCTGGGCAACAGAGTAAGACTGTCTCAAAAATACATACCTATTTGAAGGTATTGTTTTGTTTGCCCTGTCCAATTATCAATTCAGCGTGCTTCAAAATATTTTTTAAACTCTGCCCCAATTTGACAAGTCTATCCTAAGTAAACATGAAATTATATTAATAAAGTTAAAACTTTTCTTCAATAAATTTCTTAAAACAAATAGAGTCAGTAGCAGTCTCATCCGGAAAACTAAAGGCACTATTGAGAACTTCATTTACACAGCAATTAGAGATATAGGCACTGAGTCTAGCTAGTGAGGCAGGACCGCTGGATAAGTAAGCCTGCTGTGTGGTTCACTGTTTGCCATCCTGAAAGGAACGCAGTTCTTAATGAAAAGAAACTTTCTATCAAGGAATTAGATTAAACTGAAGGGGAACATTATGTAGTAAAATGATTTATACCAATCATGGGCCTACTTACAATTCTTATATAACAACCCATCACCACCCACTAACTCTTACTTCATGTATTCTACCTATTCCACCCCCGCTTTTTTTTTTTTTTTTTTTTTTT